GAGCTCCAGAATGGTCACATGGGGGGAGCAGTGACCARAGCTCCCCACAGTGGGCTGCCACAGCTGCATGGCCCGGCTGGGATGGACACAGTGCCYGTCTCCTGCCCTTTCCCCATGCCTGCCTGTCCCCAGTGCCATCCAGAGGGGTGGATGCTGGGCATGGCTGACCCCAGGGAGCAGGACACGTCCCAGGGCCCACCAGGCAAGAACGAGACAAGAGCTGCTGATGGCTACAGATGTGATCTCCCATCTCTCCATGGGTCATGGTGCAGGGATTCCTCAAACCTGCTCTCAGGAGCTCTCAGGGGATGCCAACAACAGGGCAGGTACCCATGGACAATCCTGGCTCTCCTGAGCTCATCCCTGAAGGGTTTATGTGCCCCACCATCCCTCTCCCCATGCCCCCCGTCCCTCCCAGGGCTCTGCCCATACCTCCGGCTGCAGGAAGCGCATGTGGTGGCAGAGGATGTTGAARCGCCGGGGGCTCTGCGGGGAGAAGCCCTGCACGAACTTGGCCAAGAAGTGGTGGGGGTAGTAGAGCTGGAAGCCACCTCCCACGGGGAAGGCGAAGGTCAGGTTGTGCGTCTCCCCAAAACGGAACAGGATGTTCATGACGGTGCTGCTGGCGCTCTTGTGCACTTTCAGGAAAACGATGTCGGTCTTGGGCTTGCACATCTTCTCTTGAGATGGGTCACTCATGGCTTGCTGATATCCTCCAGCTGTCACTTCCTCGACCTTAAAGGCTTCTGTCCAGCTCGGGAAGAATCCCGTCTGCAGGTGTGTTTTGTAAGAATCCTCTGCCAGCAGAGGCTGAGCTGAGTTTGGAACGGGCTGTGTGAAGGAGGTTTCCCAGCGAGGGTAGGGAGAAGCCACGGCTGGAGGCTGAGTCTGGCTCTGAAKSTCCCCCTGCACCGCTCYGGGTGGGGACATTCCCCCGTGCYCCTCGGTGCTCAGCCYGTTTSCGAAGAGGATGAATTTGCTGGTGACAGCTCCTGCCAAAGCCGCGGCGATTCTCCCGGCGAGGCTCGGGGAGGGAATTTCTGTGGCTGCTTTTCCCAAGCTGRGAAGCTGCGGTTTGATCCCYGTGGGTGACRGATGGGCTTTCACCTTSTCTSCGCTCTCCTCAGGCWGCTGCASCCAGAGCTGCTCCKGGCGCTCATCCAGAGGGCTCTCCTGGTGCATCCCGAAAGCGTCCTCAGCCGGAGCRGGGTCGGGGTTGGGGTCGGGCGCGGCTCCGCTCTGCCAATGCGGGGAATCCTCYTCCCAGCGCAGGTCGGGGCTGGGCAGGGCAGAGCCCTGGCCCGGGGTCTGCTGCAGGCCACGCTCCAGCTCGCACCGGCAGCTCCTGTGACGGGGAGGACACAAGGCTCAGCTGCAGCAGACGGAAGGACAGAGCAGAGGCAGCTCCTCTGCAGCCCAGTGAACCCCCCGASCCCACAAAGTCACCCCAGAACACGTTTCCCCCTTTCCTCGGGGTGGGTGGCATTGCTGATGGCTGTAGGGGCTTCACTGTTTATTTATAATTCTGCTCAGCACCTACCCAGGAGGCTGCAGCTTCTCCACMACCTGAAGTGTGACCAGGAGGAGGATGAGGAGGCTGAAGGAGATCCAGAGGCGGCCTGGCTGGCACCTGTAGATTGCACTCAGCTTCCTGCAAGGAACCAGACACAGGAGAACATTGGTGAGTGAAAGGGCTCCACCCTGARAGGTGGCTGTGGGCAGSKGGGGTCGGGCTCTTTCTCCAGGCAGCAGTGCAGAACGAGAGGACACAGCCTTGAGCTGCACCAGAGAAATATAGTTTGGGTATCAGGAAAAGGTTTTTTTACAGAAAGAGTGATAAAGCAGTGGAATGGTCTGCCCAGGGAGGGGTGGCGTCACCATCCCTGGATGTGTTTAAAGAGAGATTGGATGTGGCATTTGGTTTAGTTGAGATGTCAGGGCATGGGTTGGGCTGGAAGATCTTGAAGGTCTCTTCCAGCCCCGGTGATCCTGTGACTCTGTGATTCTGTGACTCTGTGATCCTGTGATTCTGTGATTCTGTGATCCTGTGATTCTGTGATTCTGTGTGTGATTGATTCTGTGACTGTGATTCTGTGATTCTGTGATTTGACTGTGAATCTGTGATTCTGTGATTGATTCTGTAATTCTGTGATCCTGTGTGATTCTGTCATTCTGCCTGTGATCCTGTGATTCTGTGATTCTGTGATTCTGTGTGTGATTGGTTCTGTGATTCTGTGATTCTGTGATTCTGTGTGTGATTGGTTCTGTGACTCTGTGATTCTGTGTTTCTGTGATTCTGTGATTCTGTGTGTGATTGATTCTGTGACTGTGATTCTGTGATTCTGTGTGTGATTGATTCTGTGATCCTGTGACTGTGATTCTGTGAATCTGTGATTTGACTGTGATTCTGTGAATCTGTGATTCTGTGATTGATTCTGTAATTCTGTGATTGTGTGATCCTGTGATTCTGTGATTCTGTGATTCTGAGTGTGAAGTGGGTGGGAAAGGCGCCCCAGGGCTGTTTGATTTCTTTATCTTCATTTCAGGTAAGGTCACGTTTCCAGGGGCGGAAATGATGCGGAGGCAGCGATAACCGAGGAACCTCAGTGGCTGTGCCCAAGCGGGGCAGCCCTGTGGAAATTTCCAGATGGGCCCCAGGCAGGGTGCTGGAAAGCAAACAGAGATAACCACGAGTGCCTGGGCTGCCCAGGGACGCCCTCCTGGATCAACCTGAGCTCCCTGCCCTGCCTGCCCTACAAGGATCAGGATCCTGTCTTTATCAACATGGACATCACCATAAATCCCTTTTCTCCCTGCTTTCCCCACTTCCTGCTGTGAGGTTGCCATCTGCACCAGCTCCAGATGTGATGCCACCATYAGATTTCAGTCTCATTTTAGTCCACAAGCACAGTGTGATTCCTTCAGGCCATCAGATTTGTGCTATCGGGGTTTGGGCTGTGCATGGCGACATCCAGGCCACGGAAATGCTGCCACTGGGCTCCTCCTGTTTGCAGGGCTTGCTGCAAACCCTGGTGGAGCTCGATTGTARCTCTAATCTTCAGAGGGACTGAGTTTCCTGGAGAAAAGGATTTGTTTGTATTTTATTTTTTCAGACTGGTTGTCCACTCCTGGCAGGTGAGGTACTTGGAACCATGGGTTAGGGGTGGCCTTGGCAGTACTGGGCAGTACAACAAAATATGATTTGATGATCTTGGAGGGCTTTTCCAACCAGAATAATTCCATTATTCTGCTGGTTTCTCCCCAGGGAGCTCACTGTTGTGTAACAGGAGATGATTTGCACTGATTTACCTCCCACTCTGGGCAGTGCTGTTGTTGGAAACAACACAGCCTTTAAAATTTTATTTTATTTCTCTTGCCTGATTTTGCTTTGGGGAAAGGAATTTTTTTTCTTTTTGGTGATGAAGCATCACTCTATGGAGATGTGACATAACATCAACAGTGGCTCAAAAGACACTCAGGAAGATAAATGGCCAAAAATGGAACATCAGCAGAACATCAGTGGCCATCTACAAAAATTTACCACAGATGCCTCTGGGAGAGTTGGAGACATCCACTCTGGAAAAAACTGATTGAGAAAATCAAGGAATGAAGATCTAATGAATATCACAAGCNTGGAAACAACACAGCCTTTAAAATTTTATTTTATTTCTCTAGCCTGATTTTGCTTTGGGGAAAGGAATTTTTTTTTTTTTTCGTGATGAAGCATCACTCTATGGAGATGTGACATAACATCAACCGTGGCTCAAAAGACACTCAGGAAGATAAATGGCCAAAAATGGAACATCAGCAGAACATCAGTGGCTATCTACAAAAATTTACCACAGATGCCTCTGGGAGAGTTGGAGACATCCACTCTGGAAAAAACTGATTGAGAAAATCAGGGAATGAAGATCTAATGAATATCACAAGCTAATAAATTGGGATCCAAGAGGAAAGTGAAACCAGGGGTTGCTCAACTCTGGACCAATGGACTTTGAAGCAACACATCCCTATGGGTTCTGACTGTATAAAGTTTGGGGAACAAGCCAGTAAAAAGATGTGTGTTTAGAATATTTCCATTGGCACATCCTGGCCAGCAAATAAAATAATGCCTGATTCTCCATCACTTCAGATAGATTGTTAGAGGGCGTTTCTTTTCCCTGCAGTTTTGGTGACACTCTGGGACCAGGACTCGCCTGGCAAGGTGGCAGTGACACAAACATGGGCTGGCCATGGGGACACGTGCACTGGTACTGGACAGGAATTTGGGTTTGCTGAGGACAAACTGGATTTGCTCCAGGAAAATCATGGTGACTCAGTGAGTTTGATAAGGACAGCACCGCTCATGGTGCTTTGGACACTCCCGGGCTCTGCCCCACTCCCAGCAATGCCCCTCACCGAGATGGAGCTCTCAGCTCCTCCCAGGGGGATCTCAGTGTCTGAAAYACTCAGGGATGGGAAGGCTGGGAGCTCTGAGGCTGTGGCAGTGCTGATGAGGATTCAAAAGCATCGCTACTGCCCATAATTACTGCCTGTAATTACTGCCCATTAGCAGCACAGTCCCCCCAGTCCCCATGGCCGCCTGGTGCCATCCCTGCTCTCGGCCACTTGAGGAGCAGCTGCCAAGCTCAGATGAGACAGGGGGTGACAAGATGACCAGTGGGTCATTGTCTGGCCATGCCAGCAGCACAGGGAGAGCCTGGTGAGGTCARAGATAAATAACAAATAACAGAGTAGAGAAATGTCAAATGCTACAACAGAGCTGAGAATGCCAGGAGGTGTTGAAGAGGTGTTGGGGCAGAGACACGAGACTGCCCCAGAGCTGGGGTGAGGAAGGGCTGGGGTTGGAGTAACTCTGTGTGGAAAATCAGAGAGACCACAGAGGGAGAAGGCAGCGAGGRAGGAGCTGCTCCAGGATGAAGTTATTCCTCTGGATCTGGCCTCAATCCATCACTCAGGGCAAGGATGGTGAGGATTTTGTCAGGCTGAGACAAGCAGCGAGAAGGGGATGAAGAGCTGCACCACAGTGATATTCGGTGAGCCACACAARCCCTGGGGGGATCTCTAGATCAGATATACACTGTGATGAGGGCACAATGATGGAACACTTCACCCCGGGCAGTGGTGGGGGCAGCTCCCTCTGCCACTCCCAGATCGGTGTTTGGGGCAGGTACAATGCTGGGCTTCCTTCCACAGAGGTCCTAAACKCTAAACCTGGCAGAGTCTGTGAAAGATCTGGGTCCTTTGGCTCTTTTGAGGTGTCTGTGGTGCTGGTGGAACACCCAGCTGAGGCTGCCTGGGGCTGTCACAAAGCCAGAGCCCTTCCTTCCCTCCTCTAGGCTGCCTCTGCTGGGATCCATGGACATGAAGGAGGACGTGCTGGGAAAGTGGAAATGCTAAAATTTGTGAAGATGCCMAGAAGCTGCATTGAAGGCAGCAGAACATGGATTAAATGGCACACGGTGCATGAGCCACTGTTGTCTTGGAGGCTGGAGCAGGAGGATGAGATGCAGCAGAACYACAAACCTTCAAAAGGCTCAGCTGCCTGTCCTGGGTGAGCCCTGCACAGCCTCTTCTGCATTTCAAACCCCAGGATGGGATCAAGATCGTGCATGTCTTGGGGCAGGGTTAAACACCYGAGACCAGAGCAGCAGGAATGTGTCCAAGGGGTGCCTGGAGCCCTGCAGGGTGAGTTGGGCTGCCAGAGCTCCTCAGAGTCCTTGGAGATGCCTCCACCTGCAGSCAGGCTGTGGCTGAAGAGCCCCCTCAGAGCAGAACCTGTGTGCTGTCACCTCCAGGAGTGACAAACGGGGTGCAGAGCTGGGTGCAGYGCCCCAAAAACGCCTTTGGCTGCCAGGGCTCAGTCCAGAGCCAGAGYAGCTGGATCCTCCCGTGCTGGCTCAAGGAATTCAATCCCAACCTGATGGTCAAATCTCTGCAGGGGACGGTGCCCTGGTGCCCCAGCTGTGTCTCAGTGCCAGCCCAGCAGGACAGAGGGTGTCTGGGGTGCCCCTTGCCCCTTCTAGGACTGCAGATTTCCCCTCTGTTTCCCCCCCCCCACCCCCTGCTCCCAGCAGAGTTTCCCTCCGAGCTGTGCCCCTTCCCTGTCCAGCACAGAAACAAATGCCCCAGCCAGGATGGGGCTGTGGCTGGAAGTTTGGAAACTTCCTCAGGGTCCTCAGGGTCCCAGAGGCTGAACTCACCGGGCAGGCGAGTGGCAGAAAAGGGATTTTATTGATTTGCTGTGCCCAGATATCCTCCAGGCAGCGAGTGAAGTCACACAAGGAATTAATGCACACAAAACATGCACCGGGCACAGTCTGCTCCCTCTGACTGGTCACTGCAGCATTTTTTGGGCAATAAATGAGAAAATGGGCAGAATGGTCAGAGGGATGCTCGGCTAACACAGCGAGGGCACGGTGGCAGTGCCTGCTGGTGTCAGTGCTCACCCTGCCCGTGACAGCCGAGCTGGGAGTGACCCCGAGTCCCCAGGCAAAGGAGCCAAGCCTTGCCCTCCCCTCGCCCCTCCTGCTCAAAGCAGAGGCTGTGGGAGAGGAGCCTCAGCCCAGGTGCACCCATTGGGGTGAAGAACCCACACAGAGGTGATTCTGCTCCCACCGACCCCGATGGAGATCCCACACCTGGAGCACCGTGGGACAGACCAGCATCCTGCCCTGCCGAGGTCTGGGCAGACCCCTCATTCTCTCTCCTGCTGGGTGGGGAGCTCTCCAGCATGAAAACAACCCAGCAGGGAGCTGCGTGTGGGTTTTTGTTTGGGCTTGCTGAAGGCAGATCCTGTTCTCCTTCCTCTGAGGGACAGCAGCCCCACAAAAATGTTTTCCTGCTGTCCCTGGAGTGTCAAAAGCCCCATCACCCCGAACTGCCCTGCACTGATGTGGAGCAGAAACGCTCCCCCGTTCACTCCCATTGCACTTTGACTTCTTCCCATCACCTGCAAGGACATCACCTCTGGGSAGGCTAGGAAGAGAATTTTACTCAGAGAATTACTATTTTACTTGAATAAATACACAAAAATATTCCACTTACGTGACCAAATACCTCCTGAATTTCAGCATGGTGAGCTGGAGCCGGGGCTGGGGAGCGGGYGGTTCGTCATCCGCCCGGGAGACTGCAAAGCAAACAGCCGGAGCCCGGGCTGAGCGCTGCGGGCAGAGGCCCCTCCCCGGGGGGGGCAYGGGCACCGGGATCCCTCCAGACCTTCCCACCGGTGCCCTGGGCCTGCCCAGGGAGTGCCCGGCCAGCCAGAGGGCGAGCAGCACCTTCACCTTCACCCGCTGCCACGTGTCCACTCGTGTCCGTGGCCCTGCCTCACTCCTCCGACTCACCCATGGCTGGTTGTGCTCTGCTTTGAGCCCTTCTTTTCCTTCCCCATGCGTGATTTTGCTCCATGACCAAGCTGGGGCTGTGAGTGTGCTGATGTCTCCAGGCTGGGGCTGCTGAGGCTCTGTGGTGCCCRGCTCACCCTGCACGGAGTTCATCCTCTCTCTGAGCATTCTGGCTCCATCCACACCGGGCTGGGGGCACAGCAATGCCCAATTCCCTCCTTCCCTGGCCTGGGGGGACACAGGGGGACAGGGGAGTGTGGCAGGACCCTTCTGCAGGTTGGGCACAGCTGGTGAGGGKTGAGGAGGGTGGCAGAGATGTGGGACACGAGGGTTGGTGGCTTGAGCTGTGCAATGCCCGGTCTGCAGGACCCCAAGGAGAGCACCCTGACCATGTGTCCTTCCTCTGACCTGTGCCCAGAGGGGACAGGAAATGCACAACGGGTGGATTTTGGATGGATTTGTCCCTTCCAGCCCAGAGCTGGGCTCTCAGGAGGGACAGGAGGGCCCGGCTCCCTCGCCCTGGCACAGGCAGGCGCTGCCTCTCCCTGTCCACCTCATCCAAACCACAAGTTTGCTGTGGGGCTCCCGTGTTCTCCACCCATGCTGGGCTCCCTGGAGCCAGCCAGARCCTGCAGGGATCAAATCCTGTCTGATGCAGGGGCTGAGGGTCGGGGTTGCTCCTGCTTCCCTCTGCACAGCCTTGCTCTGTGCAATCCATGCTGGATAATCCTGCTCGGGTGGGTGGCTGAGGGGTCTGTGAGCATCCTGCACTCAGGATTTCCAGGGAATATCCTGCTCCTGCAGGGCCTGGGTGAGGGTGCCCAGATAAGCTTGACTGTGCTCCTCCTTGGCTGTTTCCTCTCACTTGATGGTCACCGGTGGGGTTTCTCACTGCTCATCATTTGTTTCCTTAAGGACAAACCTCTTTGTCCCTGGTGGCCTCACGGAGGTCCAGTTTCCATGTGTGATCCTGCTCGGAATCTCCTCCATTCCCACCTGGAAGCTCTTCCTTGGGCGTGACTGGATGAATCTGTGAAGGAAAACCTCAAAGGGTGAATCTGTCATTCCTGCAGGAATGTGGTGATGGGAAGCACAGCCTGTGCGCTTCTTGTGCCAGGGCTGCCTTTTTCAGGACAGAAATGAAACTGGAGATGATTTTAGGACAGGAGGTGATGTAAAAGTGGGGCTTTATTGGAGCTCCATGGGCAGTTAGAGAAGAATATCCACAAAAGCTCAGCCCCACAGGGGTGAACACAGTTTGATAGGTTTAGAAAATTAGCATAATTGATGAAAAGCACCAATTAGGAGGACAAGGGGTGATGAAATTCTTCCCAGGTCAGGCCCCTTCTCTGGTGCCCCCCACCCTCAGTACCAGCTGTCCTTGGTTATGAAATGTGTCTCACAGACCTTGGTTCCCTGGAAGAACCAAGATAAGGGAGGAGCCTTGTGCCYCCAGGGCTCAGAGATCTGGAATGTGTTTGGTCTTCCCAGCTGGGGAAAAGGGCAGGGAAAAGTCCTGGGAAGTTACAAATAYAGAAAAGAAAAAAGGCAAAAATCATTAAATSGTTCTGGCATCACCAGGGGCTGCACCTGAGGGACCCCAGCAGCTCTTTGGGGATCCTGCTCCATCTCACACCTGCATCCTACAGAGGCTGGGCTGGGAGCCGGGCAGGACCAGAGTGGGGGTGTCTGGTGGGGCTGTCACTCCTTGGGACCACACCTTGGTCTCCTCCCTCCCAAAGGTGCTGCAGGGGGGAGGATGTGGGCAGGAAAACACACCCTCTGCAGTTGTGGTGTGTCTTGGGAAGCAGAGGTGTCCCTGTTGGAAATACTGGGCACCTTCCTTACCATCAGCTCCATCCTCCTTCTCCATCAGCTCCATCCTCCTTCCCATCAGCTCCATCCTCAGGTACCTCTGAAAGGGTGGCTGAGGAGCCCCAAAGGCTGCAGTCCCTCCGTGTCCCCTGTCCCTGTTCAAGGTGATGAGCAAGGAGATGGCCCCAAGCCCTCAGGTCCTTGCCACTCTGGTGCTGTGGCTCTCCTGCTTGGCCTGGCCGTGGCCCAGAGGAGCTGCTGGTGAGTTTTTCCCAGGATTGCTGGACAAGCTGCCCCTGGAAAGCAGCCATCACCAGTGTGTTTGTACCCAGGGCTGAGGTGAGGAGGAGCACAGGGGAAGCTGCCTCTCTGCTGAAAATGAAAGGAGATCTGGGAAGGTGATTGCCAAACTGATGCCTCAGGATTTCAGCTTCTCCATTTCCATGTCTCTGTAACCCTGGGATTCTTCAGTGTTTAACTCCAGACTCCACAGATAGTGCTGAGCTCCTGCTCTCCCATTTTTACACAAAACAATTCCTCTGCAGCCCCAAACTCAAGGACACCTCCCTGTGCCAGACCCCAAGAGATGGAAACAAGAGAGAATTGGGGGAGCCAAGTTGGAGTTTTTGACTGCATTGGCTGCAGCTGCAATTGGAGGATTCAGCAAATCCCGATGTGCAAATGGACAAAAGTGAGAAAGGGTGAAAAAGCCGTGAGCCATTGTCCATTGTGGGTGCAGCCCCTGGCTGGGCTGGGACTGCCCTGGATGGCCCTGAAGGCCCTGCAATAACAGAACTGCTTTGGATTCTCTGATTCTGTGCAGCCTCTGGTTTAGGTCAGCCAGATTTAGGCATCACCTCTCCAGTGAGGAGGAGAGCAGACTGTGATCCGAATTTCCAGCCCTGGSCTGGACCAATCACTGCAGCAATGGGTGATGTGAGGGTTTGAGCCTTGCTGTAACCTCAGCCAGCACCTGCCTCCCTCCATCCTCCCTCATTCCCTCTCCTGCTGGGTGGGGAGCTCTCCAGCACGAAAACAACCCAGCAGAGAGCTGYGTGTGGGTTTTTGTTTGGGCTTGCTGAAGGCAGATCCTSTTTGCCATCATTAACACCCCAAGGTGTGCACAGCCACCCACGGGTGGGCGGCACAATGGGGCTCCTGGCACGGGGGACAGCCAGAAGGAGCTTCCAGGCAGGAGCAGGGGGGCTTTGGTCTCCTGAGAGAGATTTTGTGTTCTCCTGAGAGAGATTTTCTGTTCTCCTGAGAGAGCCTGGGTGGCAGGACAGTGCTGCAGGAGCAAAGAGAAAAGCCACTGTTGCTCCCTGRGACAGTTCCTGGGCTAACGAGGAGATCCATGTGGCAAGAGGGGCACAGCCTGGAGGGTACAGGCAGCCAGGGAGGTGTTYTTGTTGGGAGCAAAATCTGGGGTTTTGGGGAAGGTGAAACTGCTGCAGGGCTTGGCAGTTCCTGGGGCTTTCCTGGGTGTGGAGTGGCCTACAGAGGTTTTCCAAGCAGGGACTGGAGAGGGATGGAGATCCTGCTGGGAATGAAGTCAAAGCAGGACATCTGCAAAATAAAAACCTCAGAAAGGAGGAGTCAGTACTGCTGGAGTGAACCTGTTAGCTGGAGCAGGTAAACCGGAGCGATGCAGAAAATTTATATTCAGGGTAAAAAATACCCTGGGAAGGTCCAGGAGTCAAAATGAGCTCATGTTAGKGGGGTCTGGAASATCTCTTGGCAGTGCTSTGATGGTGGGGCAGACTACTGGGATGAGGGACCGTCCCACAGGGCAGGACCAGGGTAGCACTGGCTGCATCCTCTGTGGGATTGCGGTGTCTGATTCCAGCAAATCCTCACCCCACACTTTCCCTTTGCAGGGAACCAGAGCCTGAGGACCTGGAAGGAGGCTGTTGGCTCTGGGATAAGTCAGGGAAGGAATGCCTGATGTGGGGCTGGGTTCTGTTCCTCCATGGGGATGGCCACGAGGTTCCTGCTGACATTGCTTTGAGATGTTTTTTTCCCTTTTTATTCTTTATTTAATTCTTTAATTCAGTATTTAATTCTTTATTTCTGTCTTTAACTCTGTATTTAATTGTATAATCCTGTATTTAATTCTTCAATTTTTCTTTTTACATTTATTCTGTGTTTGTTTGTGTGTTTGCACAGGCGCTTTGCTTAAACGAGGGTTCATCTCCCTCATTTTGTGGTCACTTTGGCTGTGTCTTTTGCACCCTGGAGACTGCTGGATCATAAAGACACGAGGGCTGGGTGTGCCTGCCCAGCAGGAGCCAGCTGGCAGCCCCAGRGATGCAGGGACAGATTGGTGAAAGCTCTGTGGCACTCTGATTTTAGGTTCGTGTCATTCCCACAAAATCCCGACGGAGAGAACGGTGAGAGGGGGACAGGCTGTGCCCTCGCTGCCTGCAAATCCTCTGTGCAGCTTTTCTGTTTGCTTTTCAGAGCCTCCAGACAGAGCTGTGATAATTTCTGGGTGCCTCTCCCGGGGTACCCAGCGCTCTGCTTATCAGGAATGTGTGAGTTTGCGTTCCCAGTCGTTCTCCAATCCATCACCCGTGGGCCTCCCCTTCTGCCGGGCAGCTCCAGCAGCACCCACCTCAGCTGATGTTTGATTTTACTCTGAGCACAGACAGAGCTCCAGCAGCTCTCCTGGCCGCTGAGCCTGCYCTGCAGCAGCCCTGCCCATCAATGCCGGCTCTCCGAAAGGATGCTCAGGGAGCAGATGGGAATTTGGGAGCTGGGAATTTGAGAGCTGGGAATTTGGAAGCAAAGTGTGGGAGGGAGCCGAGGGCAGGACTGGTGCTGGGTGGGACCTGGCAGCCCTGGGGACCTTGTCCTGGGCACAGCCTGTGCCAGCAGCAGGCAGAGCTCCTCAGTGCTGGGAGGGCTTCAGGCAAGGAGTGTGCCGTTGCTCTGGATGTGTGGTTTTGGCAGGCGCTGGGACTTTGGCCCTAATCGTACTTTTATTTGTTCTTTAATCTCAGCCACCTTATCAGAAGCCTTTGAACAGCCAAACACATCTCTGCTCACCCAGGGAACAGGCTTTGCTGTTCCTTTTTGGCTGGTTTTGTTTGCTCACTGGGGACCTCCGAGAGATTACGCGATCCCTCGCAGACCCGGCCTTCCCTGGAAGCCTCTGTGGCTGCAGCACTCGGGTGCTGAAGGACATCT